TTTGAGAGTTTTAATTAAGTCTTTTTTTAAATAAAGACTAAATAACTGTGCTATAAAAATAAGAAGAAACTAATTAATATAAATAAGAAACAAATCTATTGTATTACTACTATGTACATATTATATAATATACTATATATATAATTCACTGTTTGTTATTTATAATAATAACCATATACATTTTATAATGATGTGGAAAATATATCGAGTAGAGTATATTTACATCAAAATCGGACTCAACCAATGTTGCCAGATTTATATTGAATGTAACTGGTAGTAGTAGTAGAAATAAATTGTGAATGTATAGAACATTATAATCGATGCTGCATCTAATGCAGTAATCCAAAGACCATCGCCATAAAAGAATTGTAGTACAACAGAGAAAATAGATAAGATTATAAAAAATTTTAAACGAAACATTAAATATTATTAAATATAAATTTGATTTTTGAAAAAGCAGTATTTATTATTTAAAATAATTGAAATAATGAAAGATAATATTATTAAATATAGATCAATAATATAAAAAGCAAAATTGACTAAAGATATTAGATAGATATTAGATAGATATTCGAAAATTGTAGGAAATATGTCACATTTTTTTCAAATTACATTTTTCTATTAAAAATTGTGATTTTAATAGAAACATATAATTAGAAAAAGAATGACATATTTAAATTTTAATTAACATATTAAATTTGATATATTTATATAAAGTCTTTAGCCATATTTTAATATTCCCATTTAATCTACATTTTAATCAAATAAAATATTTTATATATAAAATATATGTAAAATGTACATAAATTGTAAAAAGATGCAAATTATAATTATTTTTTGTATTTTTCTGTACTTAACTAATCATCTTTTCGAAGTGCTCAAACTTGTCATGCATTATTATCAACAAGTGAACTTTTTAATAGTCTTTGATCAATGGCGCCATCTCTTCGAAAAATATTGAATTACGAACAGTTACCAATTGTAAAGAAGTTTCAACGATTTTCACAGAGATGGCGTAACTGCTCAAAGACTATAAATAAATTAAAACTACAGTCGGTAATAATATACAACAAGTTTGAACATTTCTCAAAGAGATGACGCTACTAATCAAGTACTAATTGTCTATCCTTTTTCTATTACTATCCTTTACTATCCTTATATATAATAAGTTTCATTTGCGGCACTCTGAAGATGGCGTTGATTCCCGAATTTTTATCCTATCTTTGTCCTTCTCTTATTATTCTTCTTCTCTCCTTGTCTGTACTTTTATACACAATTTATGCTCAAAAGATGATTTTGATATCCGATTAATTTTAGTGTCTTCTTTTCCTAATTTATTCTATATATCAATTTTATATGTATATATCTGCTTTCTTATAATTCTCTATTCTTCTCTTCTACGTGTATTTTTATATTCATCATGGAACATTTGCTATTCTCGTTCTATTCATCAATTATTTTTTTTTTTTTTTATTATTTGCCAAGTTTTTATTACAAATACTTTGAATTGGTTTATAATTGTTGAAGGATCATTATTCAGAAAAATTAACTTTCTACATTTCCGCAATCTATAAGAATAGCAAATGATGTATTAAAATAATGAACATATGACATAGAAAAAGATGATTATATTTCAATGTTAAGTAAAAGCTTCCTTGACACATTACATTATGAAAAGTTTCTTATTGAGTTGTAACAATGCGTTAATAGATAATTTAAGAATGTACGTATAAAGCGACAGAAATATCAAAGGTAAAGCAACTGAGATATAATTCAGAGATACATAAGATATTTTAAATATATATATTCTTAGAAGTAATTAAGTATTTTAACAAATAAATTTTATATAAAATAGAATTAAATAAAATATTGAAAAAAATGAAACATAGTAACTGAAAAAAATAAGTATAAAAAAATACAGGAAAATAAATATTCCAAGGAAAATATATAAAATTTAATAAAAAATTTTTATTTCTGGAATTTCTGGAAAAATTTCGCGAACGACTTGTTTTCACTTTATATTTTATTGCTACATTGTCGAAAATTTGAAATTTGAGCAAAAATTCTTGGAATCGGAATTCCTGGAAAAATTCCTCGATCGACCTCCTTTCAACTTATGTTCTCCTGATACAAAGTCGAGTTTTCGATCAAAAATTTTAAATTTTAAGAATTTCGAAATTTCCAGGAATTTTTAGAAATTCTAGGAATTTGACGTCATTTCCAAGAACTGCCGAAATTCTGGGAAAAATTTCTCGAACGACCTCCTTTCAAATTATATTCTCCTGATACAAAGTCGAAAATTTGGCCGGGCTGAAATTTTAACTTTGTATCAGGAGAATATAAATTGAAAGGAGGTCGCTCGAGAAATTTTTCCAGGAATTCCGATTCCAAGAATTTTCGACTAATTCCAAGAATTTTTTTCAAAATTTGAAATTTTTGCGCTTCGGCGACCAGATTTCGAGATTTTCTATTAAGAGAATATAATTTTAAAGAAGTGGCATTTAATATACTTACCTTTATACTTATCTTTATACTTACCTTTTTAATCTCCCTTTTTTTTCAGGAAATAAGCATTTTTTCATCATTTTACTTAATTCTAGTTATATATTAACAATAATACTTACCTGTTTTATACTTACTAAGAAAATTAAGAAATATACCGGGTGTCCCGCTTGTTTTTCATAATATTAAAAAATGTTTCAGATAAAAAGGTTTCAAGAAGGATATATTTTGACGGTAAAGAACTCATGAAATTCAACTTTATTTCTTCAAATAGAATCAAATCATTCGTTGTATCTCGATGTATCTAGATATCCTATAAAAAAAAAAAAAAAAATATCAGAAAAATGATCATTTTAAAAGATAATATAATTGAAGCAATAGTTTTTTTTGCTCGTACATGGTTTAAAATAAATTTCTTTATATAGAATAATAACATAATGAATTTACTTACGTATAAAAAAAATATATGATGATGACCATTCAAAAAAAAAAAAGACAAAAAAAGAAACAAAGTTGACTTTCATGTAACCTCCACGTGTTCTCCGAGCAGAAAAATAATTACACCGCATTACTCTCCTCTTTGAAACCATTCAACTTTTATTCGAAATAATTTTCATTACACGGAAGAGTAATGACGTAAATTTCAAGACGATAATACCCTTTTCATTTTCTCAACTCACGTGGAGAATAACTTGATCACACGACGATATGTCGTCTATATATTTATATATATATCGTATATATATTTCACCATGCTAATGGGTGCATTGAATCGTATAAAAACAATTCGATTCTTTCGGCGCACAAAATTTCTCTTCTTTCATTTTCCAATAACATTCTATATTGAAAAAACCGCAACACCGAAAGGAAGCCAAGTTTACGCGAGAAACAATGCCCTTTTACGACGTATTTCAAGGCCGCGTTGAAATGGACGGAGGAGAGGGGGAAGAGGGAGAGGCGGGAGAGTTCGCCCATTAAAAATAATCTTCCTTCACGATTGGTGGATAAAGTATACGCGGTGGATAATATAATTGTTTTAACTGAATCGTGAGCGTTGGTGAACGTCATCCAACATGACTATATTACAGGTAATTTAAAAAATCCCCGTCCGTCCGTTAAAACATCTAATCTACCTGTACCTAGAGTCGACTATTTAATTGCATACCGGTCTATCTACCGATGCTATCGTATATATATATTTATATCGTATATATATACCGTGTATATATCAGTATCAACGAATAATTAAACTTACTGCTAAACTTATTCTTCAGATAAACTTCCAAGAACTTGTTGTTTCCTTTTTTCTAATAAAATTACCTAGAAATATGGAACAAACAGGAGGAATTGTATCGCTTGTTAACTGGGTGAGAATTTTTACCAGAATTCACTAGACGCGAGTGAAAAATAATTTGTGGAAAACACGGAAAAATACGCGTAACGCGGTAGGAAAAAAATTCAAACTCAATTCATTGGACGTACGGTGATTACGTGAGCAACGATTATATAGCGGAAAATTCGTTGTTAATAAGTAATAAATTTCGTATTTTTTAAATCATAGAAGATTTATTTCGATTATTTGTGAAACGATGGATAATAAATATTCGAACGAATTACTTTCTCTTAGAGCTTTCAATTGTACGGTCATCGAATTCCTTCATTCCTCCGTTCGTATTCATATTCATTTGTCTCTATAGGCCAAGGTTACGGAAGGATTAAGATTCTGAAACAGGAAGACCTCGAAGCGATTACTCGTTTGATAGCTTTCCACAATTTGTATAATACGAATAGGTGATCTCACTCACTTTGTTTAAGGATCTTCATAAATTATGAAACCAGGTGGGGTTTACACGAATAAGAAAAAAAAAAAAAAAAAAAAAGGATCGGGCGCAGGTGTCGTTTAGAATTTTCCTAGTAATGAATTATCTATATATATATATATCAGCGAGATGAAGATTGTATCGTATTATATACTTTATAATCGGAAAAAAAAAAAAAACCGTGCGCAGGGTTCGTTTAGAATTTTCCTAGTAATGAATTATCTATATATATATATATCAGCGAGATGAAGATTGTATCGTATTATATACTTTATAATCGGAAAAAAAAAAAAAACCGTGCGCAGGGTTCGTTTAGAATTTTCCTAGTAATGAATTATCTATATATATATATATCAGCGAGATGAAGATTGTATCGTATTATATACTTTATAATCGGAAAAAAAAAAAAAACCGTGCGCAGGGTTCGTTTAGAATTTTCCTAGTAATGAATTATCTATATATATATATATCAGCGAGATGAAGATTGTATCGTATTATATACTTTATAATCGGAAAAAAAAAAAAAACCGTGCGCAGGGTTCGTTTAGAATTTTCCTAGTAATGAATTATCTATATATATATATATCAGCGAGATGAAGATTGTATCGTATTATATACTTTATAATCGGAAAAAAAAAAAAATCGGGCGCAAGTATCGTTTAGAATTTTCCTAGTAATTAATTATCTATATATATATATATATATATATATATCATCGAGATGAAGATTGTATCGTATTATATACTTTATAATCGGAAAAAAAAAAAAATCTCCTTCGTTAAAATTTACACAAAATTTACACAAAATGTGTAAATGTATATATTTTTATTACCATATCGTTTAACTTCGTTGAATAATTTAGTTTGCATCATTGCCACGTTCAGGTCGTTATCTTATCTTTGAACAAAAAAAAAAAAAAAGAAAAAAAATCAATTCCTCGAACCAACATTCAGAAATATTATATATTAAGCAGATCAAGTGAACTTTGATTCGATAAATAAATTTGAAATCGATGTATTATTATTTAATATACATGCGGAAGAATAATCATAACATTTCAGAGGAACGTATTATTACTATTGCGATGCATTTATGCGTGATTCATGTAAACACCTACTTGATATTCACAACACACTTCCCTCTCCCCCCTCTCTTTTATTTCATTTATGTGATTTATTATCTATTGCAATGATTCTGCGCACACGAATCATTATCCGTTTATATATAATTTTGAATATACGTATAAAGCATTTATATCGATAATATTCGTGGAACAAATTTGAAACAGCGTGAATTTTTACACGTAACGATGATCATCGCGAATCACATTGAATCGATTGAATCTCTAATTTAAAATAAATCCTAGAATTCGTAATTATAATATTAATCAACTTGATTACTTTATTTCCTTATTCTATTTCAATTCTAATTTTTAGCTACTACTGCGTACCGACGTATGATAAGTTACATAATTTATTAGGAAATTGATATTGAACGAGAAAAAAAAATGTACTTGTCCAATTTTTAAATTCGAGAGAAGAGAGGATACGATACGAGTTTATTTCGAGTTTTCAATAAAATACTTTTTCACACGTTAAAAATAGACGTTCTTGAATAGCCTTGAATGATATAAAATGAAATGTAAGTCAGTCGGTAATTCAGAAAGAATTAAAAAAAAGCTGTTAATATACGTACATTATGTATATAAATCGGTACATTGTAATTTTTTCTTTTTTTTTCTTTTTTTTTTTTTTCCTTTTTACGGAAAATTATATGAATTTTAAAATTATTACGAAGATGAATACCAATTATCGATTATTAATTCTCCTTTAAAGATGATTTCTAACTCTCGTCTCCGTATTGTATAATCAAAAAAATAACTCGACGGTATTAAATAACATTAAATAACACAGAAGAGAAGTTAATTACAATTCATTTTTCTACGTTAAAAATACTATACTTTTTTTTTTTTACACAAGTAAAAAATAAAAATTCATTGAATTACGAATTATTTATTTTATTTGAATCGTCGATCAACAACGATACTCTTCGATAATCAGTTGATGCAACAAATTGAATAACGCATCGACGTTATTTAACTCGTTCGAAGAATTGATAAGCAATTTTTCAATTTCTTCTTCTAATCTGCTCGACATAATCAATACTCGTGCCAGTTCATCAGAATTGTTTCATTGTAGTCACGTTTCCCTGGAACGATTGAAATTCGTTAATTAATAAACAGTTAGAGATAACGATGGATAAATTAATTAATATAAAATTAGATGGATTCCGGATATACTTATACGAATATGTTTTTAACAAAGCGTTTGATTATTGAATTAGCACGAGAAACAAGAGTGGAGAGCTAGCACGAGCTCGAGTGGAACTGGAATTCCCACGGAAAAACCAAAAATATTAGGTTGCAATGATGTGGATGCAATGTTGATGGGAAAAGGATGGAGAGGTGGCTCGTCGGATTACATAATTGGTTTGATGTAGTGCGTGTATAAAGATCGATGGCTATAAAAGCAGTAAGATGAAAGAACCGATCCACAGTATAATCTCGGAGTTAACGAGCACTCCACAATGGTTAGTGAAACAGCAAGGAGTTTTAGAGCCTTGCTATTGCTTTTATTTGTCGGTGCCCTTTCGGCAGCGCCGACTATAGGTAAGTGAATACCGCAGTTTTTTGAAAAAATTGTTAAAAAAAAAAAAAAAAAAAAAAAAGAAAGAAATAAGAATATTCGTTTTTTTTTTTTTTTTTTTTTTTAAAAAAAAAAAAAAAAAAAAAAGAAACGAATTTTTTTTTTTTTTTTTTTTTTTTTTTTTTAAAAAAAAAAAAAAAAAAAAAAGAAACGAATTTTTTTTTTTTTTTTTTTTTTTTTTTTTTAAAAAAAAAAAAAAAAAAAAAAGAAACGAATTTTTTTTTTTTTTTTTTTTTTTTTTTTTTAAAAAAAAAAAAAAAAAAAAAAGAAACGAATATTCTTTTTTTTTTCTTTTTTTTTTTTTTTTTTTTTTTTTTTAGTAAAAAGTAAATAGAAAATACACATAATTAGCTTCGTCGTTGTAAGTTGAATGATTTTGTATCGATCCAATCGAAATTTAATCTTTTTAGAAGAATTTTTCTCATTTCTCGATTCGAATACGTAAGTTGATTTGACGTTTTCTAGAAGATGCGGAGAACACTACTTTATCGACGGAACTCAAGCCTCCTCCTTACCCGCAAAAGGAAGAGGACCATTACTATATGGTGTTCGTTATAAATATTTTTGGCGTGAAAAATGTTACCGGTGAAACGTCCGATGAAATTTTGGAAAACGATATCGTTCATCATGTCCCGCAATTAACAGGTAATTGAAAGCATACATTTATTTTTATGATAAATTTATCGACGTGAAGAAATGGGAGATCTTTGACGAGTTTAAATTTAATTGAAACAGATCCGTTGGCGACTCTGCTTCTAATCATCGACGTCGACGAGAACGATGAAGATACGGATGAAGCGGTGGATCTGGATGAAGTTGCGGAAGATCTGATTAAGGATGAGGAGGATTTCAACGTGGAGAAGATCAATTATGGCGGTGAAACGAAAGTATTGAGGCTGAAGCTCTCTAAGGAGGAAGGAGAAAGCATATTTCCCTCGAAATCGAAATTGGAAAAATTGAAGAAAATCCGCAACAAGAGGACACTTTGTGTCAAGTGTGGAGGAGGATCCGGAGGACTTGGAGGTGGAGGAGGATTTGGTGGTGGATTCGGTGGTGGATTCGGTGGTGGAGGAGGCAAGCCTGGATGTGCAAGTGGTAGTTGTGGTGGTGGTGGCTATCCTGGTGGAGGAAATGTTTATCCTGCTGGTGGTGGCTATTATCCTGGTGGAGGAGGTGGTTATCCTGGCGGTGGTGGCAAATATGGATGTGCAGGTGGTAGTTGTGGTGGTGGTGGCGGCTATCCCGGTGGAGGAGGCGGTTATCCAGGTACGATAGAATGAAAAATAAATTTATGCTTTCATTTAATTTTAATTACTCGAAAGCTTGATTATTCGAGATGTGAATTTTTACTGCAAATGCATCGCTAATATTTTAACTTTTTACCGCTTGCAATTAATGAAAAAATAGGCATAACGCGTGTTATATTCTCTAGCTTTTTAAAAAAAAGGATCAAATGCATTTAATGAGGATAATAATAATAATAACAAAGCGCCGCTTCCGCTTCTAACGCTGATTGAAGGTAATTTTTTGTAGGGCATTCAAGAATAGATGTTATACCAGTTATTGTTGTACCCGTTGCAGGTGGTGGATATCCATCAGGGGGTGGTGGATATCCATCAGGGGGCGGTGGATATCCGTCCGGAGGCGGTGGATATCCATCCGGAGGTGGTGGATATCCATCCGGAGGTGGTGGTTGCAGCACATGGTATGATTCCAAATTTTCTTTTACAATTTAGAATAGAAAATCTCCACGATAAGTATTCGTTTATTCGGATTAAAAGAACATTTATTTTCTAATATAATAATAATTTTCTGTAATAATAATTTAATGTATTATTTGCAATAATATTTCTTCTGTTATGCGATTCCAGTGGCGGAAGTTCATATGCTTCGGCATCGGCAAATGCAAACGCACAAGCAGGAAGTGGCAAATGGTAAAAAATTTTAATTTTTTATTTTTTATATTAATTTCTATATAAAATATTAATTTCTATATGTGAGAGTTAGTAGTGATCGATAATTATAGTAAAAGAATACGTATAATAAAATTAAAAAAAAAATGGAATTAAATAACAATATAATATATAATTATTATCATTGTTTCAGGGGATACATATAAATATAAATTTAATGGAATATAAGAACAACGAAAATATTCCACATTACATGCTGCCCAAAATATTCGAAAATTCAAATTCAACGAAAGTGATATTAATTTGTAACGAATTTGTAACATTCGCCATTTCGATTTCGATCCGTTTGACTAACATGTATCGAGTACCGAATAAACAAGAAAAATAAATAAACAGGTTTCGTTTTTTAATAAAAGCTAAGGATTCATTGAATTCCTATTCGAAGGCAAGCAATTTCCAGGAAATAATCGCAAGTTTCATCCGTGATTGATGTCCATCGTTAAAAGGGGAGAACCGCAACGCGTTAACGAGAATCATTTTACATGCAGTGTACATTGCATGTACGCTTAATGCGCTTGAATCTATTAATTCTTGCGAACTACGAAAGAAAAAGAAAAGGAAAAAAATACTCATCCATATGTATGATAATAAGATAATCGATCATTCGTATCGTGAAATTTTTTATTCGTATTTGCATTGATCTTGAAAAAATATTACCACTCTTTACGAGAGTCAAATTGACAAAAATTGGAAACATAGAATTTCGCTATTCGGTTCGATTAAATAAATTGAACTATAAAGCAACAGATATCGAGTGATTCTTAAACAGAGATCGAAGAATGAATTACATATAGCTACATACCTCTTAATGGCTGTAAGATAGCGACTCCATCACTATTACTAATATAATTCGCGATAAAGTACACAAGACCGGTTTAATTACTTCTTGCATCGACTCTGTTAATAAAACTTGAATGAAAGTATTCCTCCGTGAATCTTCATGCACACCTGAGCTGAAGTATATACATGCTACACGAGATGTTTAAACGTATATTCTTCTGCAATAAAAACGAAAAGTTATCGAATCGAGAAATTCTAATAGTAGAAAACATAACTTCCATTTCATCGCGTCTTATTTACCCCTTATTATCATCCATTTTATCAGTCACTGATTCGAAAGAGTGAAATCGACAGGCAAATGACTACTTGAAATCTAACCTAATACGATGCACTGCGTGTTCGCACGAAGATAATAATTGTCACAAGAGCAAATTGGCATCTATATAATCACTGATCGAACATCTCTCATGGATATCGTGACTCGATTTCGAGTAATTACACGTCTAAAAAAAAGCTTAAAAGATTTGCCGTTGAAGCGTGTACACGTTTTCCTACACACATACACTTTCCTCTCCCGCAAGTAGCAAACTCCATGCTGTAATTATGGCGCGAGTTGGGTGAACATAACGGTAAAGTTTCGATTCTTTTCTCTATTTTTCCAAGCCTGTCAGCAGGAGGAACGAGCATGCGCGCACGCTTGCGGAACGGATTCTGCGCCGAAACCGAGTCAAACCATCGTGTCACTAGGCAATAGATTTTGAGCGTTGCAAATACGCGATTCAGATTGTCCACGCTATCGAATTCTTTTCAACCTATCGAGTTCGTCGAACTTGAGAAAAGAAATAAATACGCAACGTTACTTTGATCTATATGATCAGCGTTTCTCAACTCGTTGGATTTCGCGATTATATCCATATTTCGACGAATTAATTTTCGTGAAAGAAATTAATCGAACTATACTACGACTAGTTGCGTGTGCTGCGAGCGGAACGAAAATTTCGAAGAAGATCGAAGGAGAAACCGAGGCTCTGATTATTTCACCGGTCGGAGTGAGTTTTTATCTGTTCGCCCCTTGTTCGCCCAGTTTTTCCTCATTGCGCTCTCCATCCAGAAGACCTCGAGGGTCGTTTACTGTCGGCGACGGTCAACGACCGGAAAATACTTCGCGGATCGCGAAGAAGAAGAGAATTGGCAAAGCGTTACTCGTGATTCAGACTTCGATGGAAGTCACTGGGTATTCGACGACCCGCAGACCCATATTTTCACCTCGTTCTTCTTCCAATTCTCTAACCAAATCTTCTTTATCGACCCTTCTCGGATCACGGCCGTTTATTTAAAATTCGCTTAAATTCAATCAAAAGTAATTTGTTTAAATTTTATTCGCCCGCGAGTGAACGGAAAGCTGAAAGTTGTAACTTTTTTTTTTTTTTTTCATTTATGAAGGGAAGGACATCGAATTAAATCGATTGATTAATGAAATATCTACACCTCGCATTTTCATTGTCACAAATTAACGCGTGTAACGTATCTCGGCAATAAAACCAGCTTCGACAATGCTTGTGTGTCAAGCTCGCCTTGGGTTTTATTCATTACAGTATCGGGTCGATAAATTCGATCGTTTATGAGATTAATTGGTTTTCGTTGGGTCAATGGCTTGTGCAATGGCGTATCGACGTGGACTGGAATACTCGATGACCCAGTTCATAGTCCGTTATTTCGATTAGATTTTTTACTATCGATACTGATACTAAAATCATGGTGCCGAGTGTAATATACCATTATTGTGAAATATATATATATATAAACTTTAAAAATATGAAATGCACGATGTGTCTAATCAACTTTAAAATTACGATTATCGAATTTATATGCAAATATATAGGCATACATAATAAGTATAGATCCACCACCACCCACAATGAATAATATCAACATACATACCACCATTCAATCGCTATCTGTTGAGAAGAGCGATTTGTACGACTGTCGTCAGGCTGTCGGCATTCATACATCGATAATATAAATGCTAAACTGGTATTGTTTGTTGTAGTGTGTTTATTTTCAAAACGTAATAATCGCAGGGAAGATATTGATTGTATACAATTACAGCAAAGCAAAGTGTGCGCGTAGCCGAGAAACGTCTACAACGAAGAGAGAGCCAATTTCCTTTCCTAGTCTGGTCTGGAACCAGGGTGACTTAAGTCCGTCGATGATTACAGAACGACGAGGCTTTAATTTAATCCTCCGTAGTTTTTTAGGGTCGTAAACGAAACCGGTTGCATCCAACTGGAATATACATAGAGCTAGAACTGTACACGTTCGCATAAAGATGTTTCTTTCCGGCTGAGAAATACCTGAGGGATCTCGTCCAGTCCAGTTCGAGTGGAACCAGCGCTGTTCGAGAATTAAACGCTGACTCTTTTAAAGTAAAGTATTGTATCGATAACGTTTTTTTCCTTTGACAATTTCATCGTCTAACTTTATGCAACGAAAAAATTTCCCTAATTTGTGGATTAAATAAAAAATTAAATTATTTTAAATTTTCCATGGATGAAATAAAAATGTTTTGATAAATTGTTAAAATGATTATAATTGCAATAGGGAAAAATATTCGATTCTTGATATCATCGTTGGGTTTGACAAGGCATCGTAATCGATTTATGATGGATCGATCGTCGATCAAAGTAGTATGACAATAATATAATAATTAGTATCCATAAGACAATAGTTTCGTACATAATGCTTAGACGAAACCGGTTTTCAGGTAGATTATTCCTTATCGAAATGAGTAATTCTTGCTACGCAGAATTCTAGTTAATCATAACCAATATACTTTTTCCCCATTTGAAAAAAAAGTAAAAGAAAAAAGTAAGATAAATGTTAACCTGAACGACCCAGTAAACCAGAATTCTAACTGTGTCAACAGGCAAGATTATGCACGCATACGCATCCGGCAATATAGTTTCTAGTAGCTCGTCACTTACGCCCTTCTTCGATACACGTATGCATAAGCGGAAAAGGGGACGTCGATCGATGATGATAACACGTAACATCGTGTTGATTAGATGGTATGTACAAGTATTGTAAAATGGAAAGTGACGTAATATCTCAAATATAAATCCGATATTCTCATATCCTTTGTTTGCAGAAGAATTGCGAGACAGGTGGATTAAATTTTGTCTCAATTTTGGCCAACTTAATGCTTAATCCTTCTTTCAATTTAATTGTAACGAGTTTAAATGTAAGTATAAATGGATTATTTCACTTTTTGCAAGATCTTTTGTTTTCGATGTGAAAAGAGCAATCCAATGATACGTTTTTATGCGGATTTAGGTTAAGTGATGAATGGAAGAAATGTTTTGATGAGGCATACTGGATTCAGGTTATGTTCGGTTAACTGTTAATCATGGCGATAACTTCGTTGATTCTGAAACTGATGCAAATATTCAAGATAAGTGAGGCTTGCTGGAAAGATGCTGAAATTGAAATTTAGAAATATAAACAGTGATTGAAAAAGTATCAATGAAACAAGTGCAACTGAATACATTTGTATTTGAGAAACTATTATGGATTACCAAAGAACAATACTTTTCTGTGTAAACTTGGTGAAGTGAAATATGGAAATAAAGAAAATTTATTTTCTTATTTTCTGCACTTTCTATTGTTTTCACATTAGCATGTATCCACACTTCTTTAGTGACGCTTCAACGAATGATTGTTTATAGAGATCGATCATACAATGAAACCTAACCTGTAAATAAAAATTATATTTTTCATCAAAATAGAAATTATTTAAAAATCGATATTGGGATGAAATAATCTACGTGTCTCGAAATTTTCACTTTTAATATCTCATTTTGAATTTATAAAAAGATAAATGATATAAATGATATCGTAAAATTAAATCGATAAATCAATGAAAAACTGATTTATATCTTACGCATTATATTGACATGTAAAAAAAAAAAAAAGATTACTCAAAACGGACACGCGATTCTACATTGATCCTGACCTTTCGTTCAGGATATATTATTTCCCCTCCGGGCTTATTCGTCACGACAAAACAGCATTGAAATCAAAATTCTTGGAATCATATCGCATTATCATGTATCATTTTTATCGAAATAAAGAAGAAGAAGAAAAATGTACAATAATAATTGTCTGAAAAAAAAAATTTGACATTTTATCTATAAGAATTCTTATCGAAGAAGATGCAATCCTAAGATGCAATCTCAGATTAATAATTTCCCAAGTATTTTCTAAGTTTATTCAGAGACAAAAATTTGCAATCTTTTTTTTATAATTAATGTCGTTAAATTATTGATTATGATTCATATAATTTCTCAAAGTATAGTATATATTTTTTTAATAATACATTTGTAAAAAATCATTTATTTATAATACATATAATATTACTTTAATAAAAAATTCAAAGTTTATCGAATCTTTAAATTTAAAATTAGAAAAATTCGAACTTAAACGTTCAAAAATAAAGGAAGAAACGATGGATAGCTTTATCTTATCAAGCAAATCTGTTCGTATTTCGTTTTGAGAGAGGACATTCAGAGATTCGAAATTTTCGAACAACTATATTATTTTATAAAAATTTTGAATAAATTTTAACGAGTTTCATCGAGATAATTACAATTTATCACCAGATTCGTAAGATTTATAAAATTCACGTGTTATCGATCCTCGAATCGGACTCACTTCAACGATCTTCAAGGAAGAAGAGGATCTTCAAGGTTGAAGATCTCTGGGTACGATTACCTGTATGCGACGAGCAGATTAAAATCTGTACTTCATCAGTAGTCTGCAGTACTACTCTTCACGACAAAAAGGAGAATCGCGAATTTTACTTTTACTTTTCATCTTATGATTGTTATCTCGAAAGTTAGTCGACGATAAATTAATAATGCAAAATATCAAATTTACGATACGAAATTTAATGCAAAAATCAAAAATCCTTTTTCATTGTGCAAACATCGGCCTCCATCTTCGAAAAGAGAAGGAAATCCTCGCACAAAGAAGAATGAAAAGGCAAACGGTTGAATCACAAAGGCAAAAGTTTCTCTAGGGATGGCACGATACGAAAATTTAACGAGAAAAAAAAAGTCAACGTTTCTTCAATATTTCGCACGTCACGTATAAAACATAAATCTGTTCCTGTCGATCTGTAAAAAAAACGAAACGAAAATCCTTGGAAAAAGAAGGATGGAAACGAGTTGAATTAAAAAGCTCGAAAAGATACGAAAATTGAAGGTAAAGGAAGAAAAACATCAACATCGTTGCACCAAACAAAACAAAAAACCGTGTCTCCGTTTCTCTCGTTGCAGAGAGAAGGACGGAAAGGCGAGCGAGTGAAATACAAAGCCCTGTATTTCTATATGTAGCGGTGAATTTCTTAGAAAAGAGGAGGCTTGGACGGGCCCCGAATTGCCGAAAGTAAAGGAAGATTTGACTTTTTGCCTGGATATTAACGGAACGGCGTTAACCCCGAGGGGCCTGAACGTGGCAGAGAGCGAAGGGGTAGAGGGGAACGCGGAATATAAAGGAGAGTGCCCCGTGCTACGGGGGCTTAGTACCGTTCAAAGATGCAGGCTGCCGAGATGATGCGCGATACCAGGGCCATCTGCTACGATCTTGTGTTACTGTTATCCCTCTCGATCAGTTATGTCCGTGAGTAGAAGGAATTTTTGAAATTCCCGCGTCGAACGAGAGTCGAAATCCGCAACGATGATTTGTCACATTGCTGCGTTGGGGACAAGTGTTGGAAAGTTGTTGTTTTGTGCGCCTCTCTGGTGATTATTTGTGGCCGAATAGCTCGCAATGAAAATCGTCGATACGACGCGAGTGTATATTCTATGTCCTGTACACGTGTGTTGAACATTCCTTTTAAAACATTAAATTATTAATTTTTCTCGTTTCGGTGATGGTGGATTAAAATTTATATTGTAATTTATCGGTTTATTATTTTATACACGTATTAAATGTATTTATAGAATGTCTCGTTAATGTTCAACGGTGGATCGATTTGCAATTATAGAAAATAAATTGTTCAACCGTGAATATATTTCCTTTCGAGAAGACTATAGAGAAGACTAATGCAACGCTGTCGCCGCGTTACACGTGATAAATTATCATCCGTACAAATCTGTAATTTGCCTCGCGATAATTTCAATTTTATTATTGATTCGATACTAATTCATTTTAGATTCGTTTCCGCTTCAAGTGTTGCCTGCCATCCAGGGATACATTCCGGTTTACATAAGGTATGGTAATCAACCACTCGAGGAGATAAATCCCAAGTTAGCCGAGGCGTTTCACGAAGGATCGAGTATACATTACGCTTACTCGCCGATGAATAATTTGAATAAGGTACGTGTTTTTACGAGTTGCACGACAAATATGTATCTAGGTACAAATATTATAATTTTAAAATTTGAATTTTCAACGATCATTGCAGAAACTTGATTTAGATCTTCCTAAAGATGAGAACGATGAGAAATTGATAGAGGAGGATTTGGAAAGGAAATCTGCCGCGAATGTGATCAGAGAGGTTCAAGAAACGTGGAAAGTATGAAATTTATTCAAATCTTTTTCTCCCTTATTGAAAAACAATGCGATGCTAATTAATTTTCCAACTAGTTTTCGTTATCAAAGAATGAACACTTGCTTCGCGTTGTTAGTAATATACTCGTCAATAGTGGATGATGCAGTATGCAAAAAAGGTATTAACGTCAATTCAAATGCACGGTAGTTAATAAATTGCTTTTACGTCCTGTGTTTTCACCTGTCACCATGCATAAATGAAGACAATCTGAGGGAGAAATCAATGAGTCATTAAATTACCTGTTCCTTGTTGTATCCACTTATCGTATCATGATGTATAAATATTAATAACCTCAAATCGTATAATTTGAGAAGTGAACTCGAAAAAAATTTATCACCTCGAATATTTTATTTTTAAGGTCGATCAATTAAACGAAGATGGGAAAAATATAGAAGAGAAGGGCAAAAGTGAGGTTAAAGGAGACGTGAAAAGTCCAAATAATATACACGATTCGAATTTCAATCTCGCCGAATCGTCTATGGATAAATTTCGTTACAAGAACGATCAAATTTTTACCTCAAATATGAATATCGATCAAATGATCGCTCAAGAATCACTTCGATCCGATATTTACGAAGATGATCAACGTCGTGCCGAGGATAATGCTTCCGACTCTTGACCCTGAATGGATCCAACTATGTAGTTTGCTTGAAGAAAAATATTTTTTTTTTTCCCATTCTCAAGTAGATCCTTCGAAGGAAACTTAAAACTGCCGTTAGAAAAGCAACGAAAAGAAGAAAATGAATATTCAGAAGAGAGATCAAAATTAAACGCCTCATTCATAGTGAGATTTATTTATAGCAAAACGATATATAGCGTAGAATTTTGTGATAAAATATTTCCAATGGAATTTTAACGCTCGCAATTGTTTATTGTAAAATGTTAACAAATTGAATTTATATGTATATTATTGTATATCTTTGATCAACGAGAATCATGTGATGCGTTATCGTGCTCAAATAAATAAAATATTTTAAACACAGGATACGAAAAATAAATGGTATTTGCGATATTCGAATTACATTTATAAAAAGTAGTTTATTTTTTTTTGTTCCAATTATTAATCGTATTTATACATTATGTATTACTTAGTTACCAGAAGATAATTGAAAAATTACCACCGGGTATTTGAATATTTTTCCACACAGAACAACTTATACTCGTCCGATAATTTATCGTTATCGATTTCCCACTGTCTCGTTAACTTCCTCCTCGTCAGACGTAATTTTATGCGTTTCTATTCTGTAATTATTACTAGCCGTGTTCAAAACAAGCAACGCGGGTATCGTATTTGATTCATTGGCTCTGGACATTTTCGAAGTATATTTTATACTTTCAAATATATTCTCGTCGATTCTTATATCCAGATATAATCGTCGATCTTCGAGAAATCTTTCGCTTGATAAAATGAAAGTATTATTGCCAAATTTACACGCTACAGCTGGTAGATTCCGTTTCACTTCTGGTATGTAAACATCTCGAATTGCTCTGCAGTGAACGATCGATGATTTTCCCCGTTCCTCCGAAAAATTCTGTAAATCCTCTCTGTATCTCTCTTCATTCCCAAAATCGAATTCCTTTCGCCTCGTTTCCTTGTTAATTTTTAAATTCCTCACGTCTTTCGACGCGGCGTCAAAATTATTCGATCTCGAGATGTGATGCGTCGAAGCTTTATTCGACGTAGCCACTTGAACTTTGGCGATCTTCGACAAAGAAAAAATTAGACACAACTCTTTGTCCTCGTAAGGGCATATCTGATTACTTTCACTTGAGGATTTGGAATCTTTTTCGTTACAATTTTCAACACAATTATTATGGGTTATTATTTTCCCATTTTTTACAATTTTAGGGTTAAAGTTTTCTATTAAAGGTTCGCCTCGAGTCTTCGAACCACTGTTCGTAACATTCGATTGAAAATATTGATTTTCAATCGGCTTGCCTTCACCACGTAACGTAAAACTGAATAATAACACAATAAAGAACAATGATTTACGGGACATTTTAACGAGGACGAAGAAATTTCCACTTTTATTTTTCGTATCTTAAAGCGTCCAGTAACCTCGACAGGATAGATACTGACTGTGCCAGAAAAACAATGTGAACGCAAAAGCTAGCAAGGTGCATGGGGACTGAAGATTGGGCCGTTATGTCTACCGTGTTCATTTCGTGTGCACTGACCTTATCTCCTGTTTGGACATTGTTCGAATACCACAAAATTTAGTTCTATCTCTTTCAAAGAATCTTAACCTCGACTTTGATCCTGCATTCCAAAGGATATGTCACTGTTCGCCTTCGATCCCTCTTACCAATACTCTTTGTCCCCAATGTAAAAATATCTTGTGCGATTACATTATTTACACAATTTTTGTTTATCTACGCGAAGAACAAGTATATTATAAACGCGAACGAAATGTAAAAAAGTATTATTATCATTATTACTATTATTATTATTATTATTTTTAATAAATTTAAAATTGAATTTATTTCTACTTTAATATATATGTTTAACTATTTTGTACAAATAATAAATATTAACATATACTTTAAAGGATAATATCATGATTTTTAAAATAAAAAAAAATTTATTTATATATTATATATTTTATATTTATAGTGAAGTGAATTTAAAATTTGTATCGTTTTAATATTATACATTTATACGTCGAAAAAAAAAATAAAAATTTAGAGATAATAATTTTTTAAAAGTATAATAAAAATAGAACACGTTATGATCATTGACATTATATGCACAATTGCCATGGATGAGTGCGCTACTCCCTCTATCACTAAAAGTAGCTCAATTCTCCTCGATTTCCGCAGGAGGAGAATACGTGACGTCACGTTATCCCCACTGCTATTGCTACATTAGGCAGAGGCACGCCATGTGACATGATGGGACGCTTGGCTTTGGTGGATGCCTGGTGACGTCACGTATTCTCCTACCGCAAAAATTCGCCACGGGGGAATTGAGCCATTTTCCAATGGTAGAGGGGATAAAGTACCACGCTCCGGCAACTATGTGCGCACTAGAAGTGCGCAATGTGATGTCAACAACGCGTGTGTATAATGTAAATCGTGCCTTTTGTGTTGCACATATTAGAAGAAATGTGCATATTTTATTATTATTATATAGTATTGATGGCGTGATTTTTTAATATTTCATTCCTTATTAAGTAAGGAACGTAATTGTATTTTAATAGAAATTAGCAATTTCGAAAATTAATATTACTTGTAACATTTATTGTTATTGTTACTATTTCTTTATTTAAGAAGAAAAAACTGAAATAAAAATTAAATTTTTTAATAAAGTTATATAATTTAAATCTGTAAAAAACCTGCACAATCAAAATATTATATTAAAAGAGCACCTAACCTAAAAATTTTCTAACTATTAATTTTTTTCTATTTTGCATATTCAAAAATATAAAGTTGTGACAAAATTGAAATACAATGGCTGGTCAACAACATCCATTTCCATCTGGATTTCCTAACGTACAACAATCTGCAATGAGAACACAATTTGGTGGAGGTCAAATGGTATCTGGATTAATGGGTCCTCAACAAGGTGGTAAGTACAAATTAATTAGGACAAGATATTAAAGAGATAAATTTTAAAAGAATATAAAGAAAAGTATAATATTCAAAAAATTCTTTGATGTAGGTATGGTAAATCCGCAGCAATTTGGAGTTGGTGTAGGAGTAGGAGTAGGTGTAGGTGGAGTTGGATCCAATGCTATGGGTATACCTAGTGCTCAACAAGTATTAGCACAGCAACAACAACAACAACAATCTGTTGCAATGCAACAACAAGTACAGCAGATGCAACAACAACAATTACAATTACAACAACAACAACAAGCTGCAATGGTACAACAAAGTAATCCAACAGGCAACCAAGCTACGACACCTCAAACTCCTGTACCACCTACTCAACCACCACCTCAGCAACAACAACAAAATAAGGAATTTAACACTGCCAGTTTATGCAGATTTGGTCAAGAAACTGTACAAGATATTGTCAGCCGCACTCTGGAAGTTTTTCAAACGTTAAGACTTCTTCAACCCCCAACTGGTATTTTAAAGTTATTAAATTTTAATTATTTGTAACGCATATTCAATTGTATTTTATATATATATATATATATATTATAATTTTAGGCACAGCACAAGGAGCAAATTTAGCTAATGAAAGGAAGAATAAAGTACAGGAACAATTAAGAACTCTTAAATTATTATTTAAACGTTTGAGATTGATTTATGAAAAATGTAATGAAAACTGCCAACTTCAAGGTATGGAATATACACATATAGAAAGTTTAATTCCTTTAAAGGAAGAATGGGATATGAAATCCGATGAGAAAAAAACATCTGAAGCTTATAGATTAGCATGTGAAGAAAGTAAAGAAATTATGGAAGTAAGTTTAGGCTTTAATATAAATAATAAAAAGCGAACATTTTTTTCATAAACTAATAATATTATATTTAACTTTTTCAGCAAGTGGTGTTAAAAAATAGGCACCTTAAAGAAATTATTGATCACTTAAGACGCATTATTTCAGAAATAAACACTATGTTAAATATGCGTCGATCTTAAACTATAAAATGTAAATAATATTTATATAAGTTATTAAAAAAAACTGTGTTGAAAAATAAAAGTATTCTTTGCTATGTAAGAATGTTAATATTATTTACATACCTGTATTTTGAAAATTTATTGTACTACATTAATGTCATTCATATCCATATAAATAATGTCACTTGTTCTTAGAACAGCTTCTGGAATCTTGCCCAATGGTGTTTCCAAATTTCGTGTATATACTTCCAAGCATTCTACATCACAACCTCTAAACTCGGCAGAAACCCGCGTATTTTCGTATAAGTAAAAATCTGCTTGTTTACCTGTAACAAATAATTTTTTTCGATTTCATATTTCTAAGTTATTTTATTCATAATATTGATGATACTACCATATTTAATGATAATTTATGATATACTATACTTCCGTATAGGTTAAGTGTTTCTGATATTGGCGCCACGTTTGAATAATTTCATATTACACTAATTTCCTGTATAAATTATTATCATAAAAATTTATACAGAATTACACATTTGTAAAAATATTACATAAATATTTTAATATTTTTATTTTGAGATAGAAGAAATAGATTTGAAAACATAAAATATTTCGTACCAACAATTCCAGTAATTACACGGAGAAATCGTTCACGTAAAAATGCACGTGCTTCTTGTTTTTCAGAAGTTGCAAAATCCATGTTAGTTTCATTTTCGTTCAATTGTGAATTATCTTCAATTACTTCAACTGAACTAGTCATTTTATCGAAAAATTTGCTGACTCGTAAAGAACTTCCATGGCGGAACTAAAACAACCAAGTGAAGTGTCGCTGTAATGCCCGCCAAATTTAAAAATTAAAATATTATTATATATATTACTTGTAATATAATATTATAATATTAACGTTAAAATATCGCATAATATTAATATAGATCGCATAACAGAAACCCACATATTTTAACGAGGAAGTTTAGATTAACGCAATTAACATATTTTCGAATATATCTAAATGGTATACTTTCACAAGATAAAAGATGAGGGCAACCCACAGGTTTTCGAATTTTGTCAAATAGCCTTCGTCAATTTTTTTTTCATTCTTGTTCGAAACATCGTACAGTAACAATGAATTTCTCGATCCTCGTGCTTTTAACTATCGGTATTAATTATACCAGTAAGTAATATTATAAAAGTATTATAATAAAAAAAATAAGCTCTCTCTTTCGATCACGTTAATTATTATTGTCTATCTAGGAGCGTATCATAAAGTTAGTGCAACGACGGAACATTCAAAAATAATTCATAGATCGTTACGAGAAACTACTACGAACAGTGGCAATGTACAAATACCCGAGAAAAAAATCTCTTTGACGGATATTCTGTACTCGAAACAGAATTTGACTAGATTAGAAGAATTGGAAAGAAATATGAAGAAAGAAGTCGACTCTTCGAATAGAAAATCGAAAATTTTAAGAAGTTTGGCTTTCCTAGCCGGTTTAAGTGTCGGTAATTTGACAAATGCAGCGTCGACCGACGTAAAAACTTATACTAAACTTCCATCTTTGAACGTCGATGGAACATCTCGAATTTCGTCTCCCGTTGCCGCGATCTATAATCCTTATCCTTACGTCTCGTATCCTTATATATTTGCCACTCCTGTAGGATTTTATCCCCCTTTGTTGGATTTATTAAGATTACAATCAATTAATGGATTACAAAACGTTCAACCGAGTTCGTTAAATCTATTGGGCAACAAAATCATTGATCAGTTGAAGGACGAGTATGTAGAGGAGGCTCAAAAAATTGAAAGTATCAAAACGCCGAACATCGACAAAAATACAGAGGAGGAGGAGGAGGACCAGAACGAGGAAGGCAAGGTAAGAATTTGAAAAACATATGATGAACATATAAATAAAATTTTACGTGGTAAAAAGAATTAAATATTTTATGAATTTAGCATTACGCATTGATATAATAAAAATTAAAAATTCGTTTCTTCTATTAACAGTTTCCATCTTCTAATTTATTATGTAATACGCAGAAAGAAGTTAATGCGAAGCAGAGTAACACGTTGAAAAATATCGTCAAAGATAATTCTTTTACGATAGGATTACGAGCCGCGAATACAACAACAAGTAACACAACGTCTGGAAATATGACCCAAACTGACAATTCGACTCAAACAAGTCCACATTTTTACTACGGCGGATATCCACAAAATATACACCATATCGATTTCACTACGAAATCGTACGATCCTTATTATCACAGTTACGAGCACATCAATTATGATTTACCCTCGTACAACAAACCCGTAAATTTTTATCCGGATGAAACATATAATAATTATTATCCCGTTGCACATGTTCACGATCATCATTATCCAGGTCAATTTCATCAACAAATGCCCGAATATCATTCTAACGATTTCAAAAGATTTTTGTATACACCTGACGATATACCATCATTCGCCAACAATGATTTCAAACCTATAATATAATCTATATTCTATAATATAGAATCATTGTAATTGTAACGTGCAATGTAATGTATCAATATGTATTAACCTGTGTATAATCATGATAAAAAATTTAATAAATTAAATTTTTTTTTATTGACAAATTAATTTTAGTGAAATGGTTTTAATATATATATTAAGTTAAGAATAATAATATCACATTACCTTATAGATTTATTACGTTCGTAATATTATATACTCTGATACAAGTCGAATGTAAATAATTGTGTTTCTTCTGGCAACAAGTTGTTTATATTAGGATAGGACGATATAATAATTACACGAATCGGTTCATCAGAACGTTGCCGGAATTTTATTGACGAGCACGCTTTCGCGTTATTCCAAAGAACATTTTATAAAACGATATGTGTTGGAAAGCAATTGTGTTCTTTTTTGTATTACTTTGTATAATCGTATATAATTATCATAATTTGACAAGTAAGTGGATTTTCAATGGAATCGTATAGTTACAAGTATTATAATATGATAATTGATTTTTCTATTATAAAATTTATTTAATTATATATATATATATATATCTATATATCTATAATAGATATAGATATCTATAATAGATATATATATATATATATCTATTATAAAATTTATTTAATTATATATA